TCCATAATCTACTGTTGTACGTAGGGGAAAAAGGTGAATGGAAATGGTTATAAAGATTCATTGAATTGATTATGGAGGGAGAACTTGGAGCCAAGGTTTTTTATCTTATGATTAAATTTTTTCAATTTGGAAGTAAGCCAATTTACAGTAAAAAAAAATTAGTGGGAAGACTTTGCCTCCAATACATACCATTTTTGTTTAACTGAATGAAGCATTTAATGGTTCTTTAAATTGTTTAAGCTTTTCTCTTTTTTCTATTTGAAAGAAATGGGTGGACGTTGTTATTTGTATTAATGTTTGATTAAGTGTTTTAATTGTTCAAGGGTAGATAGGTCATTTTGCTTTAGAAAAGTTGCATTAAATGTATTTTTCTTAAACTTTTTATTTATGGACAACTAAAATGAGACGGAAGGAGTAATATTTTTTATTTTTGAAAATGACTGAGAGGTTTGTTTTCTTTAGGACATAATATTCCAAAGACTTATTATATTTTGGTCTTTTTCTAAGTCTTCGTGCACTAAAAATACCCTTTTTTCGAAAGACTCAATTCACATTTCATCAAACCTTTTAGTCTAACATATTTACTATATTACCAACCTTTTAGTCTAACATATTTACTATATTACCCTTACCCTACTATATTACCCTTACCCTTTTCAGGTATGGGCGACCTAAAATTATTCTGAGCCCTTTTGCCTTTTACATTTGTGGTGTTTCATAAATAAAGAAATTATTAATCTTTCTTAGGATGTCCTTTTTCTATTTTCATCGTAATGTTCAAACTCTAGAGTGAAGTCACCCAGCCTCTCGTCAAACACTTCTCTCCTCTTTGCCCTAAATCGACAGTCGATGCACCAACCATCGGCAGTTCGGCACTAGCGTCGCCTGTCCATCAGTGCCGGTCCATCTTCTCCGGTCAATCGTCGCCGGTTCACACCCTCCCATCGACGCACCTCTGTTCTCCACTCGAAGTCAAACAGGTACTCTTTTCTCCGCTCCGACCATTGATGTAGCTACATCTATTGCTCTCATGTGGCATACATCACTTTCCTGCTAATTAATTTTGGCTCCTTGATTCCATTCTACCAGATAGCAGCTAAAACAACCAGAAAAGCTTGATTTCCTATCATTAAATTAGCACATAGTTTACAATCAGCTGCATTTTTGTTTATTCTGCTATTCTACCAAACTGTTGAATTTGACCATGCTCTGAGGTTGTCTCCATGCTTCTCTTTCATCAGTCACAAAGGAAATCCAAATTCCATTCATTCTCAAACCATCTCTCTTACATCAGAAAATTTATCAAGGTTTATTTATTTATTTATTTGGTTGTTTTGGCTGATATAAAGCAAAACATTCTGAAGGGAGATTATCTCTTCCTGCTCGTAACTTCTTGATATTTTTTAATGATTTCCTCCCTCTCCAAGGCTTGCACACAGATAAATATGTTGTAAGTAATCTTTCTTTATTTAAGAGTCATGAAATCTGTGATGGCCTCAATAAGTAATTACATGTATAATGATATTGACTTGTTAAAAATGGTTTTAGTTATGGTGTATTTAGGGAGTGTTTGGATAGGAAAAAAAGAGGGTGTTTATTGCTTATTGTTTATTCCTACCACAATAATCTAAGTTTAAGTGTTTTGATAAAATCCTTAAAAATCAGCTTATTGTGTTAAGAATAAGCTAAATAGGGTGATTTTAATAAGCATCTTCTTCCTTGCTTATTGCTTATTCCCACCCAAATAAACTAATAAGCAATAAGCTTCCAAACACCCCTTAGAATCCCTTGTTTCAGTTGCTACGTTGCATATGAGAGATAGAGATGAGTGTGTCATTCTTTTGACTGATAGCTTACGGAGACGACGACGAGAAGGATAAGCGGGCGACGGCGGAGCGATCTGGAGAGAGGCGAGAGGCGAAATTTGTTATGACATTTCAAATGTTAACCAAACACTTGCAAAAACACTCGAATACCTTGGCGCACATTATTCAAACTTACGCCCAATCCAAACAGCTATCTAATGGAAAGCTACTTCATGCGCAGCTCATCACCTCTGGTTACCCATCATCCATGTATCTTACCAATCATCTCCTGTCCATGTATGCAAGATGCGGTCAACTCGGGTATGCCCACAGGCTATTCGATGAAATGCCTCAAAGAAACTTGGTTTCTTGGACTGCTATGATCTCTGCGTTTTCTCAGAATTCTGAGTTCGCAAAAGCAATTACCACATTTTGTGAAATGTGCGTCTTCGGTGAAAGCCCAAACCAGTTTGCATTTTCCAGTGTGATTCAAGCTTGCTCGTCTCTCAAATCTGTCCAAATTGGTAAGCAAATCCATTGTCTTGCTCTTAAGGTTGGGTTTAGTCATGAGCTGTTTGTGGGTAGTAATTTAGCAGACATGTACTCAAAATGTGGGTCTATCATTGAGGCTTGTATGGTTTTTGAGGAGATGCCTTCTAAAGATGAAGTTTCATGGAACTCAATGATTAATGGGTATGCAAAAAATGGGTATAACGAAGAAGCACTGGTTTCTTTTAAGAAGATGCTGACTGAAGATGTTACAATCGATCAACATCTTCTTTGCAGTATACTTTGTGTTTGTGGACCTTTAAAAACATATAACATTGGAAGATCTCTTCATTCCTTTGTTACAAAATTGGGATTTGAACAACATATTTCTGTTGGAAATACACTTATGGACATGTATTGTAAACTAGGAGACATGGATAGTGCCTCGGAGTTGCTCAACATCAACTCTAAAGGTACAAATATCATTTCCTATACTTCTTTGATTGATGGATATGTTGAATCTGATCAAATCGAGAAGGCATTCGTTATTTTCATTGAGCTAAAAAGACAAAAAATTGAACCTAATGAGTTCACCTTTTCTAGCTTAATCAAATCTTGTGCTAATCATGCTACTCTTGAACAAGGGGTTCAACTTCATGCCCTAGTGTTAAAATACAATCTTGATCAAGACCCTTTTGTTTCTTCCATCATTGTTGACATGTATGGGAAATGTGGTTTGCTTGATCATTCACTTCAAGCATTTGAGAAAATCTCTAAACCAAATGAGTACACATGGAATTCATTGATTGGTGTGTTTGCTCACCATGGATTAGGGCACAAAGCTATAGATGTATTTGAAAAGATGTTATTGCATGACATTAAACCAAATTCAGTCACATTTATAAATCTTTTAAACGCATGTAGCCATTCGGGGTTATTAACAGAAGGATTAAGCTACTTCAACTCCATGGAAACAATCTATGGTGTAAAACCTAAATCAGAACATTACTCTTGTGTTATTGACTTATTGGGAAGATCAGGGAAGCTTAAAGAAGCTGAAAATTTTATAAAAAGTATGCCATTTGAGGCAAACGCATACGCTTGGTGTTCCTTTTTAGCTTCTTGTAGAAAATATGGCGATAAAGAAAGGGGAGAGCTTGCATCCAAAAGTTTAAAGATTATTGACCCTTTAAACAGTGGGGCCCATGTTTTACTTTCGAATATATACGCAAAAGAACAACAATGGGAGGATGTGAAAAGTGTTAGAAAGATGATGAAAGATGAAAATGTGAAAAAACTTAAGGGATGTAGTTGGGTTGATGTTGATAAGAGAGTTCATGTTTTTGGAGTTGAAGATTTGTGTCATGGGGATAAAAAGGAGATTGATTTGAAACTTGATGAGCTTTTGAGGAAGATAATTAAAGTTGGATATGTTCCTGATGTTGATTCTGTTCCATTTGATTTGGATTATGATATGAAGGTGAAGATTTTGAATCATCATAGTGAGAGGATTGCAATAGCATATGCACTTATAAGGATGCCAATTGGGAAACCGATTATTGTGAAGAAGAATTTAAGAGTTTGTGTTGATTGTCATTCTGCAATTAAATTGATGTCTAAAGTTGAAGGGAGAGAGATTATACTTAGAGATAATAGTCGGTTTCATCACTTTGTGGATGGATCTTGTTCTTGCAAGGATTTTTGGTAAGTTTTAAGATGATTTTGTTTGTTTGGAGCTAAACTTTTGAGTAGCTAAAGAACTTTGTATGTCATAGACTCATAGTCAATAGTTAATAGTTGTTCAAAATCATGCATGAAATAGTTGTATCATATGAGGAAAAAAAACATATTTTGTAACTTGTCACTGAGGAATAAAAAACATTGCATTCCATCTTCTAGCTGTCATCTCAAACCTCAAAAACAAATGGTTTAGCTTCTCAAAGCTGCCATGCTTTAAAGTTGGAAGAACTTGTAATAGTCTTAAAAATAACATATTCTAATAAAAAACAAATGCACGGGTGATAATATTTTGTTATAAATATATTAAAAATAATCCATTGTACTTTCCAGAAACTTTTACATGTTAGTAAATTACTTATCATGGTCAAAATAGTATTACTAATTTATATTTATAAGGATATTTTTATTTTATATTTTTTAAAAGATTTCAAAATTGGTGTATGTGTTTTTCCAAAAACAGCATGTTAATAACTTATCTCTCATAAGATTTATGGTAGGTGAGAATATCATGTAATTTGTTGGAAGATTTAATGTCTTTTGAAAATTAATAAAATTTAGTTCTTATATACAAGTTGTGATAGATTATTCGATGAGTTTTCAGGTCTTCTCTTCCTTCATCTCATTGTTTAGGTTCTAGCAACTTGAGTTATATATAGTCGAAGAGTTTTAACTTAGGATGAACCAATATAAATATTCAATCATGTAAGTAGAATAAGTTTAACAATTTCAAATAAATAAGGTTCAATATATATAATAAGAGTTATAAAGATATGATTTAATTTAGGATGAACCAATAGAAATAAACTTAATGATCAATGTAGACAGGCACAATAGCAACATCAAGAACAAATGAGTGTGATTCAATATGATGCAAACACAAAAAAAAGGGGAAGAAAACGCAGCAGACTTAATCTGTAAAATTTTAATTTGTTGAATAAGATTCAATCAACTAAAGTAAACAAATAAATGGTGTTGTTGTTGTTATCATATACAAATTACAAAATAAGGTTAATCTGTATAGTTTTAATTTGTTGAATGAATATACAAACCAATGGAGTTGTTCACTTTCTCCCATTCAACTATCAATATTCAATAACCCTCTTTTACATGCCTCTCTCTCTTTCTCTATGTCATGAAAGATTCACCACACCCACATTGTCCCTTTGAGTTAGGGTTGATAAATACAAACTCTGACCTGTTTCATAACAAGTATAAATAAATAAGAGATAAACAACAGCTTAGTGGTGTATTTGAGATCTTAATTTTGTAGTCAAAAGATACTCTAGTTGAGAATGAAATCATATTAATTGTGTAAATTCCATTTTTATGCAGTTATAAAAGTATTATGTGGATATTGACTGAAATGGAATTATGGAATATTGTTCATTAGGATTAGACTTAATTTTCTGAAGTCGACTCAATTAATTATTTCCTTTATAGAATGAGGGAAGTGAGGATTTAAAGGAATGTTATCTGTTTTGAAAGTTTGTTGTTATAATCAGAAATGGAAGGATAGATAACCAATGTAAATATTGAAGATTGATGGTTAGAGACACTAATGATGATGTTGAAATGATATTCTAAGTAGAAATAATTTATCTGGTAATGAAGGTATGATGTTCGTACCTCAACTTGTCATCTACAAAGTCCATTTTTGTTCCGATAACATGCATCAGAGCTTTTGGATCAATCACAATCTTCACACCTTTGTCTTCAACCAGTTCATCAAACTTTCCTTTTTCATCTACCAAGAAAACCAACAATCTAACTACATGTTGATCATCTAGCAGAATAGCCATGTCTTTAGGATACACCCTCTGATTCTGGTTATGATTTTCTCATCTTTCAGGGACAAAATTATGTGTGATTTCGGAAGAACTAGGTTTAACGATTCACATAAATCTGAAGTTGAACGCAAGCTTTTGAAACTATGAATGATTACAAATTGATTAGACACAAACTAGGGTTTCTTACAAAAAGCCAGAAGGGCCAATTCTGTAGATAACATATTAAAATATAAGTGGATTGCCAACCTGCGTAATTGAGGGTGTAGGATAAGCCATTGCAGCCGCGAGCTTTGACACCGAGCTTGAGAAAGGCGCGTTGGCGATTGTGAAGGAGTTGTCGTATTCTGTCCGCAGCGGCTTCCGTTAGCGTGAAGGCTTGCCGGCGGGCTGCCGAACCCACCTTCGCCGCCGCCTTCGCCAGTACCGGAGACGCCATTCAACGGATCGCGTTTCGTGGTTGGGGAAAATTGTGATGAAGGGAACTTGAATCGAATAGAAATGGAACTTTCTGTTGTTCGGGAACTTTTTGACATTTTTTGGACATCACGTTTGTGATTCATCTAAGATTAGAAAAACACAAAATTAAGACAAAACTGTAAAAATGTCTCGTACTTTTTTCGTGGTTTAATCCAAACTTGTGACCTCTTTTTTTTTTTTTTTCATGGTCTTTTTGGTATAGTTTGTCCATGAAAATGGTCTTCCGACATAACTTCCGTTAAATTGTTGTTGTTAACCACCTCATGTGCCTCCGACATGAGGATAAATTTGTCTTTTCACCTTTTAGGGACCATTTTTGTATCTGAAAAAAATATCTCATTTTTTTTTAAAAAAAAATGAATACCTATTTATTTATTTTAATAATTAAATGATAGAGTAAGTTACACGAATGATCATTATGGTTTGGGTAATTTGCACGTTTGGTCCATAACTTACTTTTTTAACTCGGATGGTTCCTACTGTTTGTTTTTGTTGTGCGTTTGGTCTCTTTTTTACCTAAAAAGACTATTTTACCATTGATTTTTTAATTTACTTAAATAAACACATCCCAACCCCACTTCCACATCACCCTACCTTATCTTATATATCCCACTTTATTTAAATAAATTAAAAAATCAAGGCCAAAATAGTCTTTTTAGATAAGACAGGGCCAAGAGCGCAACAAAAACAAATTGTAGGGACCTTCCGAGTTAAAAAAAAAATAATAAGTTAGGGACCAAACATGCAAATTATCCCAAATAATATGGACCATACGTGCAATTTACAATATATATATATATATATATATATATATATATATATATATATATATATATATATATATATATATATATATATATATATACACACACACACACACACACATACAAGTAGGTTAATGCGAAAACATAATATTTCGCGAATACATATTTTATCTTATAAAATCAAACACATTGACTATAAAAATTAAATTTATCAGCAATAAATTAAAGATAATAAGTTCACATTGAATTGTGTTATGATAGTATAGATTTAAAGGCTGTTTTAACAACAATTCTTTTTTTGTTTCACGTCCTTAAACACTTTTAAATTCATGTTTTCATAATAAAAATGTCAAAAATCATGCTTTGCTAATATGAAACAATTTCTCATGTATCATCGATTATCATCATATAGTTCAAAGTTTTGATGGATTATTGTCAAAAATATAAGGTTGAAGTGACACAATTTCATAGTTTTTTATTGTTTTCGTGTTTTCGCAAATTATTTGCATTTTCGTATGAACCCTCTCATATGTGTGTGTGTCTATATATATATATATATATATATATATATATATATATATATATATATATATATTGTAAATTATATATGGTTAAAATATATTATAAAGTATAGTATAATTGATATATTTAGACAAAACTACAAAAATGGTCTTGTGATTTACCAAATGTCACAAATTCAGCCCCTGCTAATTTTTTTATGCAAATGGTCCTTGTGGTTTGCAAAAGTTGCAGAGATGACCATTTTTACTAACTCCGTCCATATTTAGCCGTTAGGCTATATCATGTGCGTCCCACGTGGAGGTATTTTGGTCTTTTTAGTTTTGTCGTTCATTTAGTTGTACACTTATCATAATCTACGTAATTAAGCATCCCTAACCTGTCTAAATCAAACATCCTCCAAGAAACCCCTTCAGTTGCACTCTTCCCCGATCACCCTCTACGTAGAGGATCAAATCCCCAATTCTTGCCATTTCGATTCCAAAATTTGGGTGTACAAGCAAAAAATGGTAATCAGTATGTGGAATTTATGTGGTCCTCACTCGGTTGAACCGAAAATTGAACAATATTACAGTAAGTTTTTGCATTTTGTGTTTGTAAAGTTTCTTTGGTTTGTATAATGAACATTGTTGATGTTTTCTTTTTCAGATGGTTTTACCTGTTTCTTTACTTTAAAGATACATCATGGTGGGTTTTTTACCAAGTATCCAGGTAGAAAGTACATTAAAGGAAGGTTGGCTTTCTACGACTTTATTGACACTGATCTTTTTAGTGTTCACGATCTAAACGACATGATTCGTGAGTTAGGGTATGCTGAGGATGTCACAATGTACTACCATTTTAGAATTCCTAATCTAGGCTTAAATTTCGGATTGAAGGATCTAAGAAATGATCAAGACGTTATTTCTATGACTCAATATGTCCCTATTACAGAGAGCTTAGTGTGTATGTTGAACATGGTCAAACTAGAGTACACACATACTTCATGTCCCCAACCAAAGTTGTTATTCAACAACTGGATCAGATGATCCTTCTCCTGAACTCATTAGGATTAGGCCTAAGAAGAAGGAAGTTGATTCTTGTAGCAAGAAATTGGACATGAATGTCCTACCTAAACAGTCGTATGTTCAGAATCAGGTAAAAGATAAGTTGTATGATTATTCCATGTCCCTAGTTACTTTTAAGCCATATCAAGTAACTGAATGCAATATGGCACACAAAGAACATGAGGTTAATGATTTGTATGTCCCTGTAACAAAAGAATTTGATACTATGGAAGATATTAGGGTTTATTTTAGTTGCCTTAATCAAAGAGAGAATATATATGATTTTTGATCCTTTCAGTGATAGTGGATATAAAAATATGGGCGAATATGAAGAAGAGGTTGCAGAAGATAAAGAAGATGGTCAACAAGACGAGGAATAAGATAAGAAACAAAAGGAGGAAACAAATGAGGATGATGGTGACTATATTGTAGACCCAGAAGCACTTGTAGATGATTGAGATGTAGATATGAGGGAAGTTAATAGTGTTGTGGATGAGGTTGAATGGTTTGGACAAGCACCAGAAACAAAAGTAGATTTAAACCAAGATGGGGATGAATTAGAGCTTATTAATAATAATGAGTTTGAAAGTGCAGGTTTTGAAGAGGACTCTAGGAAGAAGATGTTGAGAAATTTGAAAAAGAAAGTGCCTTGTTCATATGGAGTAGTCAATGGTAGAACATTTTATGTGGGTCAATCTTTTAAAACAAAGAAAGATGTGCAAGGTCAGATAAAGTTACTATCAATCCATAGTAGGAGGGCCCTACACATGACAAAAAATGAGAAACTGAAAGTAAGAGTAAAGTGTAAGGGAATGGTTACAGATTCGAGTGGTGGGCCCTCTATAGTTAGTAAAGTCACATCCACGGGCAAAATAGTAATTACCAAAAAGGATTCTTGTCCTTTTGCAATTCATATTTCTAGGTCTACCGAAGAGGAGCCTTGGTTGGTGAAAACAATCATTGATGAACATTAATGCTTATAAACAAGAAAACTGAAGTCGTGTACATCTAGATTCTTGGCAACCACTATTCTCCAAAAGGTGGATTCCAACCCTAGAATCCCAGTTTCAACCCTACACGAGTAACTTCAGATGGATTTGGAATTAAGCTTGTCTAAAATGAAGGTGTTCAGAGCTAAATCTATTGTAAAGGATCAGTTGTAGGATGACTTTAAAAATCAATACAGTTTTTTGAGAGATTATTGTTTTGATGGGTTTTGAGCATAACATCATTCCTATGGTATACATGCAACCCTAATTGCTTTGGATCTACGATTTTCTCAAGTTATACATGCAAATAATCATCCAAAGCATAAACCCTAATACTTAGCATACCAATTTCGAAATTGACATATAATTAGGGTTAGAAACCTTACCTCACTTGTTATGTAGCAATAACAAGAACAATCCTTCTTGATATTGACTTCTGAAAGCCTAGTGCCCCAAGTGTTGCACCTCTAATGGAGTCACAAACACTCAATGCAAGAAGATGACTTAGGAGAGAGGTGAAATCGGCTAGGGCAACTCAAAGAAGACATAGAGCCGATTTCTACATGCTAAGGGGTTTATTTATAGTTGAGGCTATTAGGGTTTTTGAGTGGAAACCCTAATTTCCTTGCTTAGGCCTTAAGCAATCCATGGAGCCCTTTTAGAAGGCCCCCTTGGACTAAATCGTTATGGGATTCCATAGATTTCGTCCAATCCCTTCTATTAGGAATCCATAGCCCAACTAGCAACTATCAGATAATTGCAATATCAGCCACCTTTATTTAATCAGTCTCTTTTGATCACCAAATTAATTCCAAATTAATTTCTAATCAATACTAATTAAATAATATGATTTCCAAATAATATATTAATCTTGTAATATATTAATAAAATCATTTTGAGTACCAATTTATTCTTCATATAATAAATTCTACTCTCTCTCCTTTCGTCATCCTATCAAGTTGCATGAGTGAAGGCAACCCAAAAGGACCATGCTTATAATCGGTTTAAGTACATACCAATAATAGTTATGGGCTTAAACACCTAATCCAACATGTTTGGAGTTACAAACCAACAACCCAAGTACAACAGTGAAGTCAGAAGTGTGCAGTGAATCAAATCTCCTCAAGTTCAAACTTGAATATTCAATAGGATATATATCTGCCTTTGAGCACTTAAGGTGGGGTTCAAAGCTCGACAAAGGTAATTACTAGGACTGGACGGGTGTTTTTTGAAAGGATCATTGCTAGGGCAAATACTAATAGTTGTGTGTATTGATTCTAATAATGGAATCTACCTAATAGCTTATGTTGTTGTAGAAGTTGAGTTAAAAGATTCATAGACTTGGTTCTTGGAGTGCCTTGGTGATGATTTGGATTTGGATGCGTCATGTAACTTCACTTTTGTATCTGACAGACAAAAGGTATGAAATAATTTGTTTTGTTGGTTGTGATTGCTTGGTTTATACTAACTTGAATATAGTTAAATGTGCAGGGACTAATACCTTCCATAGAAAAAGTGTATCGAAATGCAGAACATAGATGGTGTTTGAGATACATACATGAAAACATGAAGCTGCAATGGAGGGGTGAAGAGGTTAAAGATCATTTGTGGAATTGTGCTACCAGAACAAACCTTAGCCACTTTGAAAGGGCAATGAAAGAATTGTAGGATTTCAATTTGGTTGCATATGAATGGCTAAGAAAAATTCCTGCAGTTCATTGGCCTAGGTCCCATTTCTCTGGTAAGTTGTTTTAAACAT